GAAATAGATTCCATGTATTCAAACAAAGTATGGACTTTGGTTGATCCACCACAGGGTATTGTACCCATAGGTTGTAAATGGGTTTACAAGCGAAAACGTGGTGTAGATGGAGAAGTAAATACTTTTAAAGCAAGACTGGTTGCTAAAGGTTATACTCAAAAACAAGGTGTTGATTATGAGGAAACTTTTTCACCAGTAGCAATGCTTAAATCTATTCGGATATTGCTAGCCATAGCTGCGTATTATGACTACGAGATATGGCAAATGGATGTGAAAACTGCTTTTCTTAATGGAAATATTAAGGAAGACATTTATATGAAACAACCGCAAGGTTTCATATCCAATGGGAGTGAACAAATGGTTTGTAAACTTCAAAGGTCTATTTATGGACTTAAACAAGCTTCGAGGAGTTGGAATATTCGGTTTGATGAAACGATCAAAACGTTTGATTTTCATAAGAATCCGGATGAACCATGTGTTTATAAGAAGGTTAGTGGGAGTGCAGTTACATTTGTTGTTCTATATGTTGATGACATCCTACTCATTGGGAATGATGTAGGGATGTTGCAGTCAACTAGGACATGGTTGTCAAAACAGTTTTCCATGAAAGACTTGGGAGAAGCATCCTTTATCCTAGGGATAAAAATCTATAGGGATAGATTTAAACGGATGATCGGACTATCCCAGTCGACGTACATAAATAAGGTGCTACAACGGTTTAGCATGGAAGAATCCAAACGAGGATATATTCCAATGAGTCATGGGATTTCTCTTTCTAAGACGATGTCTCCAAAGACACCTGAAGAAAGAGAACGGATGAGTCATATACCTTATGCATCAGCTATTGGTAGCATTATGTATGCAATGTTATGTACAAGACCTGATGTGGCTCATGCACTTAGTGTAACGAGCAGATATCAGTCTAATCCAGGTGAAGAACACTGGAAAGCCGTTAAGATGATTCTTAAGTACTTACGAAGGACTAAGGATATCTTTATGGTATACGGCAATGGAGAACTGAAACTAGAAGGCTTTACTGATTCTGGTTTTCAGTCCGATAAAGACGACTATAAATCCATGTCTGGATACTTATTTACTCTTAATGGAGCAGCAGTTAGTTGGAAAAGTTCCAAACAAGAAACAATTGCTGACTCTACTACAGAGGCTGAGTATATTGCTGCATCTGATGCTGCAAAAGAAGCTGTTTGGATAAGGAACTTCATCCAAGGGTTGGGTGTAGTACCATCTGTTGTTGATCCAATAATGATTTATTGTGATAACAATGGGGCTATTGCACAAGCAAAGGAGCCAAGATCTCATCAAAGATCCAAACACATTATGAGACGATACCATTTGATTAGAGAAATCATTGGTAGAGGCGACGTCGTGATGGAGCGAGTCGACTCAGCAGAAAATATAGCAGACCCCTTAACTAAGCCTTTATCACAGAAAGTATTCGAAGGACATCTTGAGAAGATGGGTCTAAGATACATGAGTGATTGGAACTAGGGTAAGTGAGAGATTGTTAGAGTAGTATACCCAGCGTTCCAATCGGATTGGACGTATTCTACTTGTAAATACGATCTATTGGAATTATATTGTAAATAAGGCAACACTTTATTTTAAGAGTACGCGTTTATACTATAAATGCACTTAAGATAAAGTCCCTAGATCACTTATGGTTATAAGGTATGGTTGCGCATATAGATGGTAATCATGGAACATACCTTGAAAGCTGTGATCTTAAATACAGTTCCAAGTCGACGGATGTTTCGAGAAGGGATATTGAATAATCCATAAAAGACTTGCACATAGTATGTATGCTTGTTGGACAAGAATGTTGCATTCCATCAACATTAGCGTATGACGCAAGTACATTTATGTGGGTGCTTGTTAGAGAACAAGTTCACTGAACATGACCGTATGAAAATTCTTAATGAAGAATTTATTCAGTCGAATAAAGAATTTTCATGTTACAATAGTACATGACTAATCCTTAGACTTGAGGCACAATGGTAACTTTGTGCATATTACATTCTACTTTGATTTATCCTTTTGGTTGCTAGCACTATCGTATAAAGGGATATTTTGGGTATTATGTTAATATGTATGGAAGTTTGTTAGTGGCCAACAAAGGATTCGACACTTATGAAGATAAGTGAATTTCCTATGTGTTTCAATGTTAGTAATTCAAAGTCCTTGGCTAAGGCAGAGATGAATAGTGATTCATAACCGGGTTAATAAACTTGAAATAGAATCATAGTTATTAAGTCAATTTGGGTTTCGACAAAATCATACCCAAGACTTAATCGGGAAATTAGATGTCGAAAGGATTTTACATGTATGGACTTGTAATCGGAATAGGTTTACTCGCTATTCACTTAATACTAGATTCATGCTACTTGCTAGGTGTTCCCATGATATGTGGGTTCTTGAATTAAAGGGTTAATTCATGAATAAGAGTTAATATGATTAACTCAAATTACAAAGTGTTGTAAACCCACTACTAGTATTAAGGTGAACCTAAAAGGTCACACCTATTATGAACAAAGGTGAAAAATGTATTTCTAAAGAGTTAGAATTAATTGACAATATCTAATTTGATTAGATGTCAATTAAAGGAATATATTAATCAATAAGATTGGTTAATTACATTTTGGATATTACTTTAGTAATTAAGGTAATTACTAAATTAATATATTGGAATTAAAATTGGATTTTAAATTTCCAAACCAAAAAAATAATAATATGATTATTATTATATGGATGAAAATTTGGAAATGAATATAATAATAAAGTCTTGGAATAGATTCTCAAGATTTATTATTCTATTATCTTTAAATATGATTTAAGGATTAAAATTATAATTATGAATATAATAGATGGTGGTTGATGGTGGTTATGAACAACCTCACATTGTTTAATATATATAAAGTCAATAGTTAGTAATTGTATTTAAATAAAATCAGATTTTATTTAAATATTACTAAATATTGATTATTTTATGCTAAAATGTTTAGTATAAATAGATGTAAATGGTTTACATAAATTTGCTAATTTGATTTTCAAGAAAGTGTTCTTAAAATTCAAGAGTTAGAAGAAAAGTTCTTCACAATAACAAGAAAAGTTCTTGAGAGTTTCCAAAATTAAATCCATATAAATTCCTATACGAGAAAACCGAGTCATTCCTACTAGCGAAGGAAGGTCGTCAGAACCGGGATTCATAGGGTGGATACTGTTAGAGGGAAGACACTTGGATTCCTCAAGCGAGTAACCTCAATTCGTTGAAGTTATCAAACCGGGAACCGATTCCCTCAAGTTCATCGTTTGTGAAGGAGTTCAAGACAAATCGGTAAATATTTGTACTGGTATTTACTTTTATATAACAAATCAAAATTTGTATATGATGCATGTTTTAAAGATGACGATCAGTTAATTCGCAATTAGTATGTACGGGTGTTGTATTTATACGATAAATACTTACTTTGAAAAAATTTAAATTCCGCTGCTTAAAGCCCGTACGGTACTAGCGAAAACAGGTACGCGCTTACGATTAAGTATTCAGTGGACTAGGCTCACACGCACGGCATTATCGTTTATGATGTGGTGGTTTGGCATTTGGATGGCCAACTTGCATTAATGTCACCTCAATGAATATTTATATATAATGCTAAAATGAATTGGAGCATCAAGAAATGGATCCAAGATGTAAGTAGATGGATTTTATTTTGTATTGAATTAACAAAACTATTTTAATGATTTTTGAATGTGTTTTTGAAGAGCTTAAGGATCTATTTATGTTGGCCAAGTAAAGTTAGTGACATCTTATTTTGTTAGGATAGGTGAGGGTGGTTCCCATGGTCGTGGCATGGGGGCTTTTTGAATGGCGTGTGGGTATGTGATTACGACAACGTATTCAAAGAATGAAAGGTACGGTGTTTTCGAGTATAATGTTGTGTTTTGGCCCCTCGATTGCTAACTGACGTGCCAACAAGGCTCGCGTGCGTGCGAATCATGACCTTCCAAGTTATCGGGAGAGTCTAAGTAGGATAGTAAATTGCAAGATTATTTGTTGACTGTCGGACAAATATGTATGTATGTGGCAAGTTCAACCCTATCATTGGGGGCACTGTCGTAATCGAGTTTTTTACTTTTAAAATCGGCACAGATACTCTTGTGAGTATGTGTGTGACGATTCAACTGTTAAAAAAATTAGGTGAGAACAATGCCCTAATCATTAAGATTGAATTTATCATATGTATGGCCATGAATGATATGTACAGTGTTACAATTATTCGTAGTGAAGACTCGTGAACAAATTTGTATATTTTTTTTTCATTCATGTGTGTTCAAAGGCTCCTCGTAGGCTCATTTAATTTGACGAACTAAAGTTTCGGCTTGAGTCCAGTTAATTTTACATTGCTTGTATAAGTTCGAGTTTCTTGATTCTTAAAAAAGAGTCGAGCTTCAATCAAGAAGTCCGGTTCAACTTGTGAAAACTTGAGTTCGACTAGTTTGTATACTTAAACACTAAAAAAAAATGTTATATTCCAACAGAAAATTCTACAATAATATATTTCAACGAAATTTCCAATGGTATAGTTTCTGTTGGAATGATTCCAACGAAATTCCAACGAAAATATTGCGTTGAAATGACTTTTTCATTTGAATTTTAGATGAAATTTGATGATTCCAAAGGCTATTTTTTCAACGGTTTTTTACCGTTAGAATTTTTATTTCTACCTCTGTTGGAAAATCTACTGTTGGAATAGTCAAAATCCAACAGAAAATTCAATGAAAAACTCATTCTAACGGAATATTTTTGTTGGAATTTCTATTGGAATTATATTAAAATATATTTGTATTGGAACTTTCTGTTGCAATTTCATCATTTTGTTGTAGTGAAACAAACCGAACTCCAATGGTCAATCAAAGTCGTTTATTAAACTGGTTGAGTTAAGTAACTTATTTATTTATTTTATTTATTTATTTTGAATTTTGAATGAAATAGACAAACCGAACTTATTTGCTCGTTTAATAAACGAGTCGTGTCGAGTCCAATGAGTTGAATCGGAAGCTACTCGGCTAAGACACGCCCCTGATGAATTTGTTTTGTGACCTTTTGAAGAACAAAATAGAGAAGAAAAAGAAAGGGGGAAATCAGTTGCAGTTGCAGATCGAAGCTCCATAAGACTTGAAGAAATTCCAAACAGCAGAGTTTAGTTATGGCCAGATACGACAGAGCAATCACCGTTTTCTCGCCGGACGGCCACCTTTTCCAGGTCGAGTACGCTCTCGAGGCTGTGCGCAAGGGAAACGCCGCCGTCGGCGTTCGAGGCACCGATACCATCGTGCTCGCCGTCGAGAAAAAGTCCACCCCTAAGCTGCAAGATTCTAGGTTTCCTCATCTCTTTCTTTCTCACACTCACGCATACAATCGAATTCGAGATTGTTCTTAATTCAGGGTGATTTGTTGTACGGTTTAGATGAGCTTTGGAATGCGATTAGGGTTTAAGGGTCGTTCTTGAGAGATGTACGTTTACTGCTGATGGTTCTGTCGTCTGAAATTAGTTCTGTCTGCTGTTGTTAGGCTGTGGGTTGGTTCCTCGTTCAGTCGTGTGTTGGAATCTTTGGGTGGGGAGTTTTCTGCAATTCACAGGAAATTAGAATTGGTTCAAATTTCGAAGATCATATTTTGCTTAAATTGTAAAATGGGGAGGTATTTTTTGCAATTTCAGGACTTTAAGATTTTTTTGAGGTCTAAAATTGCTTGGAAAGCTGCAGTTTTTCCCCGCTTGGTTTTTGATGATCTATTTAAACATTGAGAGATTTAGTTGTTCATACGTGATGTGTTACATTCATAGCATTCACCTTTAGAACCAAATTTGGAGTTTGTAGCTCCAATCCACTTTCAGTGATAATTCTAAAATGCAAGTACAGCTTAAAGTCTCATGTAACAATACCAAAACTAGTAGCTACTATGCATACGAAGGATTATTTATGCCGTTGTAATAAAGACCTGTTGTTGTTAACATTGTTCCGAAACTAAGGTAAGCTTTTCAAGCTGATGCTAAGGTTTCTTGTATAGATATAGAGTTATAAATTAAAATATTATCAAATGCTGTTTGATTTCTCTCTTTAGGCCTCCTTTTACGGCTTGTCTGTAATTCAAATTTGTGAATCAAATCATTGTATTCCTTCTTTCATTGCATTTTCAACATTCGTCACTTAACAGTACCCATTTTTGCCTGCTGTCTCTCAGATCAGTGAGGAAGATCGTCAATATAGACGATCACATAGCCTTGGCATGTGCTGGCCTGAAAGCAGACGCACGTGTTTTAATAAACAGGGCACGAATTGAATGCCAGAGCCATAAGCTCACAATTGAAGACCCTGTTACTGTGGAATACATAACTCGATACATTGCTGGTCTTCAGCAGAAGTACACGCAGAGTGGTGGTGTGAGACCTTTTGGCCTCTCGTCATTGATCATTGGTTTTGATCCCCACACGGGCACTCCATCACTTTACCAGACGGACCCATCAGGCACATTCTCCGCGTGGAAAGCCAATGCTACTGGAAGAAACTCAAACTCGATACGAGAGTTTCTGGAAAAGAATTACAAGGAGACATCTGGGCAAGAAACTGTCAAGTTAGCTATTCGCGCTTTGCTTGAGGTAAATTTTAGTGATTTTCACATGCTTGTGTCATTGGTGCTTCGGGTTTCGTAATTGAAAATTTCTAAATTCTGAAAAGAATGGTGAGGGTGTGATTGGATATGGATTTGATTTTTTTTTTAACCATATTTAATTTTGAAAAACGTGGTATGGTTAGTTGTTAGTGAGAATTTAAGTTTAAACTAAAATATTATTTAAAATAAAATAATTAAAATTGATTTGATGTAAAAATATGAGAAAAATGATTGGAAGTTATTGTCGGATAAAATTATGTGAGTGGATGAATAGTGAATTAAAGTTGATGTGATGTGTAAGAGTGATTAGTTGATATTATTTAATTATATTGATAAAATTGAGGATAGTGGGACTGGGTTAAAGTTGAGTTAAGTTTGAGTTTTGATTGGCTTTTTTACTGGTCATGTTTATAGTGATTCCTCTCATGCTTCTGTCATTGGTGCTTCAGGTTTCGTAATTGAAAATTCTAAATTCTGAAAAGAATGCTGAGTGAGTGGTTCTTCATTTTATGTATATTTGTATCTTTGCTTGTTTATATTCTATCCTTCTTACTTGAGAGTTTTCTAGGAATTCATTTGAATAAATTGCAAATCAGTAATTTGAAACTTGCATATCATTTCTGGTTCCAAGTGAAGTACTTTGACTCTGAATAATGACTGTCAATTCTCGAGTCTCGGATAAATAATTGCAAATCAGTAACTGAGAAACTTGTACTGTTAGTTCATATGGAAATGTGAAAACGTGAACCATAATCGTGTAAGTTCATCAGGAAATGTTAAAACTTGAACCATAATCGTAGTGAAATGGTTATTACGACTTCCATATTAAAACAGCCTTTTTTTTTTCTCAAAATGGTTATAAATAAAACGTATTTTGATGCTTATGAAGGTTGTGGAGAGTGGAGGAAAGAATATTGAAGTTGCCGTGATGACTAAAGAGCACGGTTTGCGGCAGCTTGAAGAAACTGAGATCGACGCCATTGTTGCAGACATTGAAGCTGAGAAAGCTGCTGCTGAGGCTGCAAAAAAGGCCCCTTCGACAAGGGAAGCTTAATACATCTGATTTCTTTTCAATGCTTTTGAATTTTTTCTGATTGCAGTTTTTTGTGATGTTTATGGAGAGATTATTTTCTGCTTAAAGATCTTTTGATCATTATATATGATTCATGACGAGAAGAAGAAGGATGATTTAAAGGTTTGCCAAAGCAATTATTCATTCTTGGAGTGTTAGAACTTCCATATTCTCTTCAAACACATTCATGATAACGTGCATTCATGACTCCGTATGATTTGGTTAGATATTGTTTTAGTTATAAAATTTAGTGAAAGAATTCGTGATTTTTATAATATGAAATGATCTGTTACCAGGAGTATTGTTAATTTTGATATGACGAGAAAAATAGTAAAATAATGATTGATAGTTGAAGCTATAGAGTGGCTCCATAGTAAATTTTATAAAATGTGTTGTTATTAACTGAATATTATATTAAAGGAAAAAAATAAATAGATGAATGAACAGTAACAAATAAAATGAATAAATAATGTAATGATTTTTATTGAGAAGTGAATTTTTTTTTTTTTCTTTTTTCTTGATTATAAAATCCAAAACTTTCACTTAAAATGATTGGCTTATAATATATCTTCATGCGTTTGTATCAATTTCGGAAACTTTTGATGTGAATTTTTTTTTTTCAATATAATCAAAATAAGATGAGGTCTAATTGATGAGGCATGTTGAGTAATGAACTTAATAAATTTTCTATTATACATATTTGACTGTACTTATTTGACTCGCATTTAATCTAAATTATTGGATTGGAGTAATAAGCATGGTGTGTAACTACTTTCAACTGGAATCCTCATTGCAAATTTCAATATTCTCGAAAACATCATTTACCAAAATATTCCAATCTTTGGTCTTTTCAATATTCAATTGTTTAAAAGCTTCCTTTAAAGTTTAAACCCTCGATCAATAAGGTACAAATGAAATGAGTAGTAATAAAATAAAGCAATATGACCTGGTGGAGTTAGGTTCGACACGGACCCCGCCCCTATCTACTAATGGATGAATATCCAACTAACCAATTTTAAATAATATTCTTCACCATTGACTGCTTAAATAATAATAATAATAATAATAATAATAATAATAATAATAATAATAATAATAATGTAGGTACACATAGAACTCTATAGATTTGCATTTATGTTTAAGACTCGTTCAATAAACGAGCTCGGCTTGATAAATGAAAAATTTTACATAATTTTATTGAATGAGCGAAATTGGGCGAAAGCTTGAATATCAAGAGCTCGCTTGACTCATGAATGTAATAAGCTGTGAGGACAATACCTGCGAAACAGTGAAAGTAAGAGAGCCTCAATATTGAGACACGTATAAACATTTAAAAAAAAAAATGTGGCTCTTAGCTACAGTATTAATGATAAAGAAACATAAATAATAATA